AATGTATAATTTATACCTAATACTACATATATATATATATATATATATATATATATATATACATGTATATATGCACAAAAATACTATTTGAAGAACTTTTCTGCTTCGCTGGCTATTTCCGACACGGGCTGGTGTGCATAGCAATATTAGAATTTATGATGACGAGGTCACGATCTTCTGTTATCTGATCGATATAAGGATGGAGAGAGACCGTATTCTTCCTAATCAATTGACGTGGAATTCCCTTATGTAACGACAAAACCTCACCCGGTTATTATGGCAGAATCCGTATGAAATTCCTAACTGGCAGATCGGACTATTTGAAAAGAGGTTTCTGTTCGATTAATCGAACTGGCAGATCCATTAATCGAAGCGAACTGGTAAACCAAATTAGATTGTACAGCAAGATCGTGGCCTATAAATTTGTCTTGGAGCAACTGTCCCCTCGTATGTTTAAAGCAATAAAAATCGCACCGTCCGAATCGGGGGTGGTAGTTAGTGGAATTGTATCCTGTTAGACGAGAAGGGCCAAGAGAGTGGTTTGGTTACTTTCTTTTGAGGATTGGGAACGGAGGAGCATTCTTATGCATGCCCGTTTCATACGGTTCTACCCCTTGTAGCATAGAAAAAACCCTAGAATCCGCACTTTCACGTCATATGTTTAATTGAGACACATAATTTGCTAGGTTAGTCTCTGTCAAACTCTCCATCACTTGTTCTTTCTCCTTCTAATGCTATTATCATCTCTTCCTCACTAAGGCTCTCTCACCATTTCACTCTCACTGAATCTTTCTCTGTTTACAGATGTCTCTGCTTTTCGCTATCTTTCTGTCTGTCTGTCTGTCTTCCTCTCTCGCTCTCTCTCTCTCTCTCTCTCACTCTCTCTCTCTCTCTCTCTCTCTCTCTCTCTCTCTCTCTCTCCATCTCTCTATCTAGGTCCAAGAGATCTAAGTTTTCGTGCCAAAATAAAGCCATCAGTCCATCAATTTCTCTCTTTCTCCCCCCCTCTCTCTATCTAGGTCCAAGAGATATACGTTTTCGTGCCAAAATAAAGCCATCAGTCCATCAATTTCTCTCGCTCTCTCTCTCTCTCTCTCGCTCTCTCTCTCTCTCTCGCTCTCTCTCTCTCTCTCTCTCTCTCTCTCCATCTCTCTATCTAGGTCCAAGAGATATAAGTTTTCGTGCCAAAATAAAGCCATCAGTCCATCAATTTCTCTCTCTCTCTCTCTCTCTCTCTCTCTCTCTCTCTCTCTCTCCATCTCTCTATCTAGGTCCAAGAGATATAAGTTTTCGTGCCAAAATAAAGCCATCAGTCCATCAATTTCTCTCTCTCTCTCTCTCTCTCTCTCTCTCTCTCTCTCTCTCTCCATCTCTCTATCTAGGTCCAAGAGATATAAGTTTTCGTGCCAAAATAAAGACATCAGTACATCAATTTCTCTCTTTCCCCCTCTCTCTCTCACTCTCTCTCTCTCTCTCTCTCTCTCTCCATCTCTCTATCTAGGTCCAAGAGATATAAGTTGTCGTGCCAAAATAAAGCCATCAGTCCATCAATTTCTCTCTTTCTCCTCTCTCTCTCTCTCTCTCTCTCTCTCTCTCTCTCTCTCTCTCTCTCTCTCTCTCTCTCTCCTGAAACCAACCAAATCTTTTTTTTTCCATGTCTCAGTCATATCTATCTATTTATCTACACTTTATTTCTCTCTTCCTTATCTGTATATCTATCTCTATCGGTGGATCTCTTGTCTCTATATACCACTTTTACATTCGATTTTTTTCCTTTTTTCTATATGTTATCATTATCTCTTTCTGTTGCAAAAATTAGTTGCGCAGCTTTGGTGAATCTCAATTCTCATTAGAATTCATAAATAATCGCAAATAGTGCATTTTTATGTTTTGCAGATTGGATCAGAAAGAATTGATTAGAACAATAACTATTGAAGAAAAGTGACCAGGGATGAAGTCATGTAGATGGAAAAAACGAACTTGTTTTTCTGTTGTCGAGCTTTCGGCTTATTTGACGCCTCCCTCAGGGATCTATTTAATCAGTGTTACGTTGCAGTTAGAGCAATAACTATTTATTTTATTGCCTAACTGTTTTAAAGTTCAAATTTCATGAACATCTATTTCATCTTACATTAATCTAGACGTATGAACTTTTACCTTGTATTTTTTTAATTTATTATGTTTATAATATATATATTTACGTATATTGAAATATGTGACTTTGTTTAAAGCCAATTAACCTAATCGCGATGTCTGATTCGCATCCTGACATTTTTATTGGTTCATATAATTTTGTTTTCTCTTGAACAAACGTTAGTCCATTAAAATAATTATTTAGAAAAAATAAATATATATATACCAGTCTTATAAATAGTCCGAGAGCGGATAAATTGCCTGTCGAGGAAGGTGGCGATTTATCAAAAAGCGTATTTATGTCCCTTCTATGTTCACTTTAAAACTTCATCAGTTTAAATTAAGTATTAATGAGTCCGTAGCAAAAGATTATTCATTAATGTGCCGAGGAAGGTAAAGGTCAAATTTAAAAGCTGAAACAGAAATCACTATTGTCTAAATTATTCCATTTAACCAATGATAATACTTGTGAAACAGTTTCTTTTTAGGATATTATATAAGAGAAATAAAAAAGCTACTTATAATTAGAATCGAATTGATTATGAAGGTGTGGACATAATTAAACTTAACGTTGTCGATTATTCATGGATATTGTGTACGGAACGCGTATCCACTAAAAAGGCAATAAACTATTGTCAAACACAACGTTTTTCTCTGGATAATTTGTTTGTGCACACTAAAACTCCATCGAAATATTTTATATTAATGAGTGGTTAAATGTTTAATTACTTAATAATAAACCAAGTTTGGAAAACAGAATGAAGACTATGAACCTTGTCAGTTAGGTGTCTAGAAATTAGAAATAATCGTTCAATCGAATGAAATTGAAAATCAGTCACGTACCTCATCTCACAGGTTACCCGTGCTATTCGAACAGCCTACTCGGCAAAAATCAAGCCTGGTTTTGATCATTTCTCAAGCTCTTTTGCCCATTCTCTTTGTTAACTTCGTTCGTGACCAAACATTGGCGGTTTTGGACGTGTCTGACCTGCTCTTTTTCCAGCCAGTGAAAGAGTTCGGAAATATTTTCTAATCGAAAATTATAATAGTAGACTTTTTTAAACCAGTTTCTGTACTTGATGGAGTTTTCTGATTATAAAACTGGCTTCTTGACTTGAAAGCTTTTCAATTCACTTTTGTAAATAAGCGATTTCTTGATTTCAGTATATTTATAGTGTGATTAACTAATTACTCCACTAATTGGTCACTGGTCCTGTTGCTCTCGATTTTTCATTTTTGGTTTCTTCAGCATATCAGAAACGTTTAGAAAAAAGTCTCTTCTTAAAAAGTGACTACTTATTTTCAGGTTTATCTTGTTACCTAGCATTTTCCTTAATTAATTCTACTTCCCGTGAACTCAGTGTTAGTAAGGATAATTTTAAACAACCTTTTGAAAATAATGACTTTTCTCAATTAATTATTTATTATTTTATTTTTTAATTATTTATTCGACTTTTTTAAATTCAAATGATTGAAATCCTAGATAAAACGGCTTTTTTGTTACATTTAATCGAATGGAGGTATCTATGTCAGTGGGGAAGGTATTCGACAGCCTTTTTAATTAGGTCTTCACACCCATCCGATGAGCGGGCAACTCATTCACGCAGTTCTATCTTACTCTCAGAGAAGGCTTTCTGTTTCAACAATTGTGCCAATGCATAAACCAGTGTCGACAAAATTAAAATTGGCATCCGATACAACACTGTTATAAATTTCAATTAATTATTATTTTTATGTAAGGTCTTTGTTGAAATAAAAAAGCAGTGTCACGAGCGGGATTCGAACCCACGACCATCGGCTAAATACGCCGCTGCTCTACCACATGACTTCGATCCACTCGGACACTAACTTCCCATCTCAACCTCACCTTTTATATTTTCCCTCCGTTTTGCCATTTTTCCATTGAAATCCATTGTGTTCCGTCTTGAAAACAGTTTCGCGCTTTCAGTTCCTTTCTACAAATTATTAATCAATCCCTGTCCAATGATTAATTTCCAAACTTATGGATTCCTCCCCTTTATAAATCGGTACCCGTAGAGACGTAAAACATTAATAAACATTAACATTATTAGACTTGGTGTCCAAGAGGATCGAAGTCACGATAGCTCAAGTGGTACAGCAGAAGCGTATTTAGCCGAAGATCGTGGGATCGAATCCCGCTCATGTCACTGACTTTTTTTTATCTCAACCAAGACCTTACATAAAAAGAATTATTAATTGAAAGAAGTAACTTGGTCAGTTGGCCACTAAAGCATAAATGGACTGTTATAAATAAAGAGATTGATTTATAAAGATGGAGAGAAATAATATGAAAGATTGTGAAAAAAGAAAGAAGAAAGGGGAGAGAGAGAAAAAAACAACAGATAAATAGAAATAGATAGATCGAGAAGCGAGTGCCAGGCAGATATTCACATATACTGACTACCTCCTAAATATATCGCCCTATATAATCTATTCATTTATTTTTATCTATAAATCGACATACATTCCTTGTCGCTTCATTTTCCTTTCCATCTACCTTTCTCCAAATTAAAAACAAAATATCTAACAACTAGGGCGATAACCAAAATTGTATTTTAAAAACCGAAGCCATCAACACACATATAAATCCAAAATATATTTAAAAAAATATATCCGTAATGATAATAGCGGGAGGTTTATTTTTATAATTATGCTGAGAGAATGTCGTGCTAATTTTTCATAATGTCACTTTTTTAGTATTCTTGTTTTTCATTTTTTTATGTTTCAGGTGAAGAAACTATTAAATCTGTACTGTAGATAGAAAGAACAACACAGTAAGGACATTTTGCAGCGAAAAAATATTTTATTCTAAGACTATTAGCTCAATGCGAATAGGTTTTTCTCACCCTTCAGAAGTGTGAACACAACCAGAGTGTACGTAATACTCTTTCAAACAATTTGGCGTATAACGATTACCAGTTTTTTGTGAGAAAAACAATCCATGGACAAGATAACATGCTAATAAAGGAGTCTTATCTCTTCCGATAGAGATGTCGAACTGTTGAGATCATCTAACACGGATCACACCACAATTCCCCTCTCCAAAATCACTCGTTTTATTACATTGTTCAACCATTTGGTTTAAACAGGATGTTATAGTTTTATTATTGATTTCTCCTGCACGATAACGGATAAACTCTTTTTCTTTTTAGAGACGTCTTAAGTAGTAAAAAGTTTTTTTTGTATCGTTCTATAAAATCTCTAGGAAAAACTTTCAAGTAAAAATACACCTTGCTTTCGAAAAGGCAATTTGTATTTCACGGTTTCTAATCAGTTAGCTATCCAAACAGAGATGAAAATTACGTTTTACGTCCTTCAGAGTGAAAGTCCTTTCGTTTCCAAATTAACAAAGCGGATAATAATATAATAATATTGCTCCTGTTTCTCCTTTAACAAACATAAAAGCAAAGGAAATCGAATAAAAAGCTTCGTAGATTAAAATTTAGATGTCTAGATTTAAAAGTCAGCTTCGCAATATAAAAGTCAGGTTCGTACATTTGAAATTTATTTTCGTTCATTTGATATTCAGGTCCGTAATATATAAAATTCAGTTTCGTTCTTTAAAATTCAAGTTTCAACATTTAATATTTATCTTCCTAGATTTAAAATTCTCTTTCGTACGTTTAAAATTGAGGTGTGTGCACTTAGAAGACAATTTCGTATATTTGAAATTCACCTTCGCACATATAAAAATCAGGTTGATGCATTTAAAATTTCGCTTCTTACGTTTAACCATTTATTTCCGTACGTATTTTTATTTTATAATATATCTTCATTTTTACTTCCCATCAACTTCCGAGAGAATCCTATCGGGCGAATCCCCGGATAGCTCCATTTCCGTGTGATATGTTTTCTTCCCTTCCTGGAAATGGAGAAAGAGAGAAAGGGGGATACAATTTGGCCGAACAGGTCATTATTGGATCGGTCACACCTAGCGTATCGGCCGAATCTGGTTTAATGATTCGGTAGCCACTGTTTAAATTCTATAACTTGCCGGATGAATTACTTCCTTGCTGTTAAATCTTATTTTTAAAATATGACGAAATATAATAAAGGAATGTCTGAGGAATATAACTGTTTGTACAATTTTTTCAAATTACTTTGTTCCAAATAGCAACAGGAAAAACTTTATAATAGCTCTTAACGATTTTTAAGAAAAAAAAACAAATCTTACTTAAAAATTATCTAAAGTAGACGAAACTATTTATTAAATACAACTGGCACAATTGAAAAATAAGCCAATGTTATTTATGTTTCAGGTAAAAATACATCTCAGCTTCAAATAAAGCTTGAGTATTAAAAAAGTTTACATAAGAACAAATTTAACCATCTTTTTCTTAGGCCACTGAAATAAATGCCTGCCATTATATGAAAATATATATTGATGAATTTTAATATTACTCGTCTCTCTACTATTACAATTGGTACAAGAAGTCTTAAAAAATATTGGACAAATATGTTGCTGAAACAGTGATATTTATACTCTCATATATTTAGTTTATTTATTTATGCATAGACAATATTTGCTAACCAATTAGCATAGTAAATGAGGCAATTACAGTACTTTGCGATTCAAAACAGCGGAAATATTTTTTAACAAGGTTCTAATTATTTTAACTTTTACATAATACAGATGCGCTTTGTGTAATTTACATATTATGTAATTCTATAAAAAGATATCAAAGTTTAGCTCATTTTTATCCTTATTAAAAGGAGCTTTAAATTCTTTCTCAACGGCGGATGCCAAACCACACTGGCATGCCCATTGAAGCATTCCGGAAGGGAGCATATTTTAAAGCTCTCAAGAAGTACTAAATCTCTCTCCCTTCCTTGGTAAATCTAATATTAGGCAATACGAAATACATTTAAGTTTTCTACTCCGTATACAAATTCATCCCCAAAAATGAAATTAAAAAAATACCCAAACAATTAAAAAAATCTGTTTATGAGAAAAAGTCGGAAATGATTAATATTTTGGTCTCATCCAAATAATGTGTTAATATTTTAAAATCGATCACTACAACAAAAGCTACTACTACTAATATTATACCACAACAAGTATGCTGCTTTTAAGTACTATCACTCAAGAATAACGACTACTAATGCTTTACCACTACTACATCTACAACATTTACCACTATCATTAATATCTTAAACGTTGAAATGTAATTACTGGTTCATTTCTTGACCAAAAAAAATGCTTTATCAAATAAAAAATCAAATAATAAACCCAATTATCGATAGAACCTTGAGAAACATCCGTTATTTCCTGTAATACAACATTCCTCGCTGATAACTGACATGCCTGTTCTAAGATCTGGTGATTTTAAAAATAAACAAACATACGATACGATTATGTAAAATTCCAAATTGATGCAGGGAAGACGGTTGGAAAAAAAACTCGTGTGGCTCAGCGGCAACGATAAAGTGGCCGATAGTGGATGAAAAATCTATCAGCTCTTTTTTTAAAAATTTATGTTATTACTTTACATTTATGAGCTACAGGATCTTTATTTTAAATGACGCAACTGACGAACCGCGCCCGCCCCATGTATGTATCCAGTTATTCTTTCTACGCATTCAAAAAATTATAATACAGTGTGTGTACGAGATAAAAAGTAAAATTTAAGTATTATTTATAAATTCACTAGTTTCGTGGGCCTCTTGACCAATTAATAACTTTCAATTAATTAAGATTTTTAGTTGAGATAAAAAAGTCAGTGTCATGAGCGGGATTCGAATCGACGATCTTCCGCTAGATACGCCGCTGCTTTACCACTTGAGCTATTTTCTCACAAAAGAAAACAATTGGTCCTAATTTCTTTCATACACTTATCATCCCGTATAAGTAATTTTTTAAAATAAAAATAATAATAATAGCAGTTAAAACTTAAGTAAAATAATTAAACAAAACAATCAAAACAACAAGTTTTTGCTTTATTTGTCAAGCAAAAATACACCATAATGAACGTAATTAATTTAAAAATATTTTTTTTCAATTAATTAAAGTTTTTAGTTGAGATAAAAAGTCAGTGTCACGAGCGGGATTCGAACCCACGACCTTCGACTAGATACGCCGCTGCTCTACCACTTGAGCTATCGTGGCCTCGATCCACTCGGACATTAGCTTCCCATCTCAACCCCACCTTTTGAATTTTCCCTCTTTTTTGCCATTTTTCAAATGTCGTGTAATATATTTGATTCTCGGCGACAAATGAAATGGCCACGGAGAGCTTTAGTGAAAGTATACTTCATTTAAACTTATTAAACTCACTAATTGAAAAATGGAAAAAAGGAAGGAAAATTCAAAAGGTGGGGTTGAGATGGGAAGCTAGTGTCTGAGTGGATCGAGGTCACGATAGCTCAAGTGGTAGAGCAGCGGCGTATCTAGCCGAAGGTCGTGGGTTCGAATCCCGCTCGTGACACTGACTTTTTATCTCAACTAAAAACTTTAATTAATTGAAAAAAAAATATTTTTAAATTAATTACGTTCATTATGGTGTATTTTTGCTTGACAAATAAAGCAAAAACTTGTTGTTTTGATTGTTTTGTTTAATTATTTTACTTAAGTTTTAACTGCTATTATTATTATTTTTATTTTAAAAAATTACTTATACGGGATGATAAGTGTATGAAAGAAATTAGGACCAATTGTTTTCTTTTGTGAGAAAATAAGAATAACACTTCTGTTCACAGACTGGAAGAAGGCAGATTAGGCAACAATCCGCACGGGTGATTATCCTGTCTTGTTGCATACCTTCACGCTCTTTATGCGGACCCGTTGTACAAAAAGGAAACTATTTTGGAAGAATTTCAAATACCTTTTGTTTTCCTATAAAATATAAGACGAGGAAAATTATACAGCATACTAAATTATGTCATAAATAAGTGAGGACAAGTAGTTGGGAAACACATTTTAATTCATGGGTAGGCGGCAAGGGGATCTGTAAGGCAAATTTCGTTTCTTTGGGTTAAAACTATGTGCAATAATGACACGCATATGTTCCCGAGGAAGATGTCACAGAAGGCGAGGCCGTTAGGCGCAACCTGGCTCATTATTCATGCCACCTTTCTCACTCTGATTCTTCTGCAAAATTGGCCCCGTCCACCGCTATGTTATTATTTCAAATTGCCCTTTCCTCATCAAATTGGTACAATCTTTGCGGAACGAAATGCGTGTCGTTAAAAACCGAGCCGCGTTGAAATGGCGGGAGATGTTGTCGTGCAGGTCGTTAAGGCCTACTGTTCGTACAAAGGCGCACTCAATGCTCAAACATAACACAAACTAACAAACAAATGTTATATGATTGGTATGGCGTATGTTGACCATCAAAGAAAATCCTGCTAACGACGTTTATCAAATATTCTAAGATTACAGAAAACATTAATTGCAAATGCTTTTTCAAAAACATCGGCACTCTGAGGGTTTATATGACCTCTGCTGTTGCGAACCCTCGTTAAAAAAAAACACTTTTCTTTTAACACAGACTGTTTTCACTGTTTTAATTTCCTTATGCACAATATTTTTTGTTTCTTGCCCCCTTTTGATATACTGATATATANATATAAATCAACTTTTAAATTGAGTAATTAACAAATCTCTAACAAAATCAAAAAACCTACTATTTATAAAGTAAGGAAAAACGACAATTATTTACGTTGGCCATACAATATTGTAGAAATGTATTTTTTAATGAATTTAAAGAAAGAAGAGTTAAATTTAAAATGTGGATTCTGTGAAAACTTAAGTGCTGTTATATACGAATGGTTATTTAAAAGATATTGTTTTAATTTTAATCAAAGTGACATTAACCTTTGTATAATTAATCTAATTAACTAATTAACTAGCTTCATTTATCAACTGAATTAACAAGCTTATTTTATCAATATTAACAAAGAGGTAGTTAGATCCATATTTACCACCATATTTAAACTAAAACATAATCTTTTTCGAGTTCAATGTAAATACCTTCTAACGAATTTGTTTCAATTATAAGGGCAGAAATCCACAAAACAAAGCAAATAGAAGGTAAATAGAAATGATCATTAATACAAATTAAAATGACCCTTGCGGTACACCAAAAGCCATTGGTAATTAATTCTTCACAAGAAACTTCTTTTATGTTAAGAATATGTTTGCAGTCTTTTAAATAAGATTTTTTTTAAATCAATTGTTTGCCTGTAATACCATATTCTGCGTTTTACAGAAATCAGATGGTCAACACAATCTGGCTTTGAGATATCTAGGTACATAGGCCTTTCGAAAACCGTATCGATTATTACAAATAACATTAATACATAAATATATTTATAGATAGTAAAATAGAAAGATAGATACTTATAACAAGATTTCCATAAATGAGTAAATATTGACATATTACCGGTAAGAATTTGTTTTTCTCAGAGAATGTAGAACATTAGGGAATATATATTTTTTTATTTTTTATTTTATTTCTTTATTTTTTACTTTGAACGATCAACTGATATTTCGCCTTCGTCGTGGACCATTACACTCGCCTTTCCGCTTGCCCAATAAGTTAAGTAACGATTAACACAATTGAAGGACCAGTTTCAATCGGTAACCGCAGGAAATCGAGAGTGAACAGAGGCAGGTCATGACGATTTTAAACACACTGAGAGAAACACTTTACTTTTCGTAGTTATGGAGTAAGACTATTTCGAAACTAGCATGTAATGTCCGATTGTGCATTTGTCACTGCAAATTACACCAGCCTGGCTTTTCCTCCTTGAAACGGTGCTGTAAACACGGGGACTTGTCATTCCCACGTGCCCGACGAACGTGTATGACTTCGACGGTCACAGGTCCAACCTCGAATTAAGAATGATTCGTCGCGTAAATAGTGTAATCTCGACCATTTTTAGTGCTCCTCGTGAGAAATATTTTTTACCAATGGCCAAACGTCACATTGTCTGCCTTGTCCATAGGCCAGTGATGCACTAAATGATAGTTATAACGCCGATGAAGGCGGAGATGACATTTTAGAACAATTTAAAATTGACGCCTTAAAAAAATCCATGAAAAAAAGACCTTTTTTAATTAATTTTTTTAAATAAATTATTTATTGATTATTTATTTGAAGAAAGATAATAACTCTTTATGATCACGAGATCCAGCAGGTTGTCTAATAATTAATTAAATACCTGATTTAAAAAAAGGGGTTTTATTTTATTGGGTTGTCCGGAAAATAATGCAGGATTTTAAGTTTTCATTAAAAAAAATCTATATAAAATATTCTGTTTACGTTTACAGGATTACTCATTTGTATGAATGTCAACACTTATTAATCCTCTTCCAAATGATATTGTTTGTTTACCTCTGTAGCATTCCGCTACTTGGAAATAATTCAGTCATCCTTATAATGTCAAAGCGAGAATTTCGTACGATTTTCTTTTACGAGTTTAAACTCGGCCGAAGCGGAGCCCAAACGGCTAGAAACATTAACCAAGTCTGGGGCGAGGGTTGTGTTAATGAGTGCACTGTGCAAAGGTGGTTTAAAAAATTTCGGGAGGGAGATTTCAGCCTTGAAGATGAAGAAGGTCGTGGAAGGCCTTCCTCTCTTAATGATGATGTTCTGCGATCAGTGGTGGAAGAAAACCCCAAAACAACTGTTCGAGAACTTGCAGAGCAACTCAAAGTCAGTAAAACGACCGTCGCTGACCACCTCAAGGCGATTGGAAAAGTGAAAAAACTCGAAAATTGGGTTCCACACTCATTAAACGATCGCCAAAAAATCAGCGCTTTGATGTTTGTGCATCACTTCTTTGTCGAAACAAAAATGACCCATTTCTGGCCAGAATTGTTACATGTGACGAAAAGTGGATTCTCTACGATAACACTAGACGTTCTGGACAGTGGCTCGACAAAGGAGAAGCTCCAAAGCCCCCAACTCATCAAAAAAAGGTAATGGTTACGGTATGGTGGGCTTCATTTGGTTTAATACACTACAGCTTCTTAAATCCTGGCGAAACCATCAATGCTGAATCATACTGTAACCAAATTAATACCATGCATCAGAAATTGGCAGTAATGAAGCCCTCTTTGGTCAATCGGAAAGGGCCCATTTTGTTGCATGACAACGCTCGACCACATGTGTCACGTGTAACGTCACAAAAATTATTGGAGCTTGGCTATGAAACTTTGCCTCACCCACCCTACTCTCCGGACCTCTCGCCTACTGACTACCATTTTTTTAGACACCTGGACCACTACTTACAACACATAATATTCAAAAATCAAACGGAACTGGAAAATGCATTTATTGACTTTATCAATTCTAAAAATTCTGAATTCTACTCAGACGGAATTAATAAGTTACCAACACGTTGGGAGAAATGTATTGAGAGTATGGGAAATTATTTTGATTAAAGAACATTGCTTTAAAGTAACTAGTTTCTTTTTTTTTTGTTTAATACCAAAATCCTGCATTATTTTCCGGACAACCCAATAATTATGACCAAATAATCTTTCTTGAGTTCACAAAGACTTTTCTCATAAATTAAAATTATTAACCTTGTCTTGCAAAATAGTAAAATATAATTAATTTCTTATTGAAAAAGCCCTTTTTAAACTAGATTTCTTACGCTTTATCTTAGATTTTGCACTTCCTTCTCAAGTTGTAATTTAGAGCTTGTGTGTGCTGGTTCAGATTCGTGATTAACAGGTTCTTTCAACTGTTGGCGAGTTAATTTTTTTGCCAGTGCACAATTAAAAGAAATATATGTATTCTAACTCATGTAATATCGTTTTATGTTGTTTTAAAGCATTAACTAAAAAAATCTTAGCTGGTTATTCCCATAGAATTTTGAAAAGAAAGAATGAAATGAATAGAATGAAAAGGATTTCGAAAAGGTATTAGATTTTAAAGTTACATACAGTTGAGGGGTATTTTAATTACCTACTCGAATTTTTAAAGGATTAATTTATGTCATATAAATTACTTAAATTAATCTGGGTCAATTCTTTCATGATGTAAATCAAATTTTTTATTCCACCTCAATGTTGGTACAAAGGAATATGAGGAAAAAGAAGGAAAAAGAAACCATCTCATTGCATTAGAATAAATGTTGGTGGTGATAGAAAAGGCAATATATAAAATGCCCAGATGAAAGACATTTATGTTGATATGATTATTGAAACATGTTATAGAGGTAGAGAGACAAACAGATAGATCAAAAGATTTATAGGTATATTGATAAATAGAGAGATAGAGGGAAAGAAAGAGAGAGAGAGAAGAGGGGAGAGTGCGTGTGTGCGCGTGCGTGCGCTGGAGAATAGAACAAATAGTCATACAAAGGCAGATCTCAGAGACACAGTGATAGAAAGATGGAAAATGAGGAAAATTTGGTTGGTATAAGGAGAGAAAGAGAGAAGGAAAGGAAGAGGGAGAAAGAGAGACAGAGAGAAAAAGTGACACAGAGACAAAAAGAGAAGTGGCAAGGAAGTAGAAGTGGGAGTGTGTAAGAGATGGGAAACAAGAAACTGTAATATGATCTAAAGAAGAGAAAAAATGGACAGATAAAGAGAAAATAATATTTTCAGAGGCAGAAAACTATATATATTAGGACAGAAAACTAGTATTAATTTTTGTGGCCAATAAGCATTCAAGGGTCTATCTCTTTAAAATATCTTTACTACTTGGGTTAAATGAGAGGTACTTCAGAATAATATAGTGTGATTTAAGATAAGGTGACGAGGACATTATCAGGGACGTAAGTGATGAAATTGCAATAGTACAATTTAAAAAAAAAGAATGCCTTGATAATGCTGTTATTTCAAAAAAATGTTTTAAATCCAGAGAAAACAGTTATTTACGAAGAAAATTTTCGAATCTATTAATATTGCCTGATATTGAAGAAAACCCGATAGTTGATCAGAAATATGTATACAAATACAAAGATTTGTTTTCTATTGACAGTCTTCATGATAAGGTAGTTTTATCGAATTTTCTTTCTTCAGGGGTGGGTGCGAGAAGGATGAATGTGTTAATGCACTGTTACAATAAATGATAAACCATCTTATTTGTACCAAATCACGAATAAAGACTATTCTAGAACTTTCAAATATTTGACTTAAGACAACAGTTTCTCTTTTATCAGTATTTTCACTCACAAATTTTTTTTTTAATCTTCAGATAATTGTTGTTAAATTCTGCAGGCTGAGGCATGTCGGAGCTGGAAAGGATAAAACGGCTTTGTGCAAAAAGAGGAGAGCTGTGGGAGGATCCGACATTCCCGGCGGTACAGACGTCCGTATTCTACCACCAGACGCCCCCGTTCCTTTTCCAATGGAAAAGGCCGAAGGTATGTGCAATATAAAAACAATAACCGGTTTATTAGCCAAAACAATATTAAGATGATAACATATCCTAGCAATTCCAGTCACAACCAGATAAAAGAAATGAGCCATATCAGAATATTTTTTCTCTGGCTTTATTTAATCCTGCAGTTCCTATGATTAAGCCTGATTTAAATACCGAAACGGTTATTAAAATTATTTTCAAACAAAGCTATAAAGAACTTGCAAATTTTAATGCTTAATATAACGAAGATTTAAGAAAAAATAAGCAGAAAACGTTCCTAGGTTAACAGTTGAAAGTTATTTTGTCCGATCTGCCAGCTAATTGGAGCAATTTTACATATAAAATGAGAAAAGCAGTAGAGATAAAGTTTGTCATGCAAAACACTCTTAATTATTGATCAGGAATTTGGGTTCACCTTTTCTCTGTCTATGTTGTGGTTTATATATATATNGTTATATATATATTCGTCGTTTATATATATATATACATATGTGTCAAAGCAATTAAACACATTTTTGTTATAACATATTTTATAATATTACGTAATTTTAGTCGTTTTTTATCATTTCTGTCTTTCCTCGCTGGTTTGGTTTTTGTGCAGTCCTCCTGATGATCCAGTGAAGATAATTTGATAGACAAAACTAGAGGTTCATCATTCTCGATTTGTTTTAAGTATTGGAAGTACTCAAGACAGTATACTTCATTGTTTTTTCTCGAAGTTGAACATTACGTTTTAAAATTAAACTGAACTCCAGATATAGCCTAACTGCTATTTTAAAATTTATTAAATCAGTTGATTAATTTATAAATTAAAAATCAAAAGGAATCAAGCTGATTCGTGTGGTTTAGAATTCAGAAAAGAGCAAAGTGGCTATTTTCATTGCTTTTTTTCAACCAATTCCTTTATAAATTATTTCGACCTTAAAGAACATGGTAATAGTTATATAAAATAATGACTGCAACTTTTGCATCATGACCCTTCTGCTCAAGGACCGTTCACGTATAATTAATTATTTGTGAAATTGCTGATAAATGGCAGCACGAAGTGGTTTCAAGATTCTTGAGTACAGCTAGTCAGCATGACTAAATTTTTTGTCTCGTTCATTCGAACATTCTTTAGACATAATTAAACTAGTTCTGTCTATGTATAAAATATTTTTTACAAATCAGTATTAAAAAAGAAAATATAGTAGCTTTTAAATGACCCAACAGCTTAACCTCTTTGACATCACCTATTGTCTGTCAGCTTCACAGTTTCTTCTGAAGAAAAAGCAGACAGTGTATAAAACCATTGTGACAGGTTGAAATTTTAATGTCCAACCATTTTGAAGGCACAATCCCGAGTGGCAAAATTAAAAAATTATGATAGCAAAGAAGTCGGATGGCTTGAGGTTACCCTTAATTGTTTAATTAACAAAGGCTTATGGTTCACAGTTAAAGTCCACTGAATTTACAAACTTCTTGGATTTAATTGACTTTTGAAACTCCACTTTTTTTATTCGTGCTCCTTCGCCGTGTCAAGGGCACTGTTATTTGTTGTTTTGTTTTCCTAAAAACTCTAAAGATTATTAAATATACCTGACTGTCGTAGATCTTTATATGGATGGGGGTTTCTGCAACTTGAGCGGTGCAGATGAATCTGTGCGTCGACTTTTGTCTCTTTTGAAGGTTAGTTGTTAACGCAAATCAAACATGAAATGTTAAAACACTTCAGCTAAGAAAAGAAGAAGAAGGCTTACATCGAAAAGACGAGAAAGATAAATCGGTAGTACTCTTGCGGAGGGATTTAATTGGAGAAATTGTGCGGTGTACTTTGCGGTCTAGCCGGGCAAAATGGAAATAACAGGCTTAAACACGGAAAAGTCCGCCCAGTATGCTTAGTTATAGATTTGAAATAACATACTAGCTCTAAGGTGTTATATGACAGACTTTTTAATTCGTTTGTTTTAATTTATTTCCTCCCTCAAGTTAAACATCTTCGAAACTGACTTTCGCATGTTATAACAGTAAATCAGGCCATGAAAACGTTTTTTAATCTTTCTTCTGCTTTTCCTGATAATTACCACAACTTTACAATGCTGTAAATTGTCTAGTGTAAATCCCAGAATATTTTTAAAGTAATATGTATATTTAACATAGTGGATCTTGTCTATTCTGTTTCGTATTTTATGTTATGTGACTGTTTTTGAATATTGGAGTATGTTCGAAAATGTATTGAGAAAGAGATAGAGAGAGAGTGTGTGTGGATGGGTTGTCATAAAATAAAATTCAAAAACACATAAAAATAGTTCGTAATGAGAATATCAGAAAGAGAAAGAGGAAAGACGAAGAGAGAGAGAAAATGAAAAAGGGAGAGAGAGAGAGAGATTAGGTCGGTTGCCATAAAGAAAACTTATAGATACATAAAAACGGAAAAAATAATATGTGGAGCGTAGAAAGAGAGATATAGGTGAAATAGAGGTAGATAGATTTATAGGTTATATATGGATAGAGAGAGAGTGAGAGAGAGGGCGAGGGAAAAAGTAGAGATAAAGACAGAGAAAAGCAAGTTCCCATAAAAAAAGAGATTGATCCCATTGAGATCCCATTGGTAAATACTGATAAATATCCCGATGAGAAGAAAATAGAAGAGAGTAAAAAATAGACATATTGTCCTAAAGAAGACACATGAATGGATGTAAACAACGATATACTGGGGGAAAAAGGGAAGAGAGTGGAAGAAAAAATAACAGAGAGATTGCCATAACTATGACACATAGGTATATAAAAACAGTGAAATCGTGCACGAAAGAAAAAATAAAAGATGAAGAGAAAGAAAAAACTGATAGATTGTCATTTAAAAAAAAATCGTTCCGAAAACTTTCATTTTCAATTATTTTGTTTTCTTTATTTTGATTCAGTTACTTCAGGCTTCATACTGTTAATATAAATTTTTGCGTTGTCGATGTGAAAACTAAAACCAAAACTGATGAAAGGCTGAATTCATACGTTCGTTAGACCTCCTCAGAGAACTACAAGTGTTAAACAAGCCAACACTTCGGATTGAAATAATCACTTTGATGAAGGGCTGTGAGTCATCAGTCTCTTCGTCAAATTGCCAGGAGAATCAACAGTGCGCAAAAGCCGGCCGCCACATCGAGGTTATGAATCACGTATAATTCGCACCGGAATGACTGATGAGGCCGACAGGCTTTCTTTCCTGAGAGCATGGTTTTCACCCGGATTGATTGATGAAGAAATAAGACGCGAATCATTTTTATTAAGTGTTGTAAATTGTCTTGTAGGAGGTCAATAAGACTATTTATTCATTTGATTATAGGTCGAACACAATCAGAAAGAAGATTTATGGGATCAATACAATTTTCTGACTTTTATAACAATGATGATAGACAGTAACGTTCTTAAAAGATGTCTGATAAATCGACGATATTCGTTAAATTTAAACACTTGAAAGCGATGGTAAATATCAAAAGACACTAGGACATTTAAAAACAAAGTGGTTCGGCAACACGTTTAAAGACCCTTTTTAATACGTTAATCAAAACCGTTATTGGTGAAATAACGGCATATGGTACAGCGTCTGTGATATCTTTAAATTAGCACATTTTCATCTCAGATCGCAATAGGCATAATAAACTAACCGTTAGTGGATAAAAAAATGGACTTTTGATCTAGGGGCTTCTAGGTAAAAGGATGGTCCGTAGTTTTATATGGCAAAGCCTTGACATTCTCGGTCGGACCGTTACCTCCCACGACATTCAAGGCTTTCCTCTTGCCCTGCCCTAATTCTCCCGTAGCAGAATGATCAGCTGAGCATTTCTATTAATTAATCCAAAACTTCCTAAAAGCTCAAAAAGTGTTCACATTTAGGACATTTTTCCAGCCTGGAGAAACCGATACGTTGGTTTACTGTCACCTCTTCGAAGACGTTTGATTGTGTCAGCTAGGTTTGACTGACCTGGGATTTTTGTAAGAACTCACTGCTCACGACAGTACGCCAATTTTGGGTGACCTCAACGAGGTTACACGATTTTACATTACTTGAGTACTGTTTGGCATGTATTCTTGAGGTTTAGTATGGCGAGTGGCATAACGTGGTAATACAAAAATAAAATTTATATTTTGAAGCCTAAGTAACGTTCATACAGCAAAATGAAGTACTATCTATTTAACACCTTCGCAGACCAAATATGCCAAATATTTGGATATTCAATTCCCAATTATATTTTGGGAAAAGCCTGTTGTTAAAAGATAAATATGTTCTATTATGATCGAATAACTTTCTTTTTTCTTTAGTATTAGCAAAACCAGCTGAGGTTTGGCAAACCTATTCTCGTTGTTTTTGTCTATCCCAGCCCCGATTATTGCAAAAAGATGAAACGCGTCTAGTACACTATAACATTGTGAACAGGCACAGCAAAATCATTGAAAACATTTATTTATAAGTTGAAATTAATCTCTTTTTTTTTCAATTTAAAATAAAGCCTTTGTTATATGTTAAAAACTTGGATGATGGAATGAAATAAATATAAGCATGTAAAGTGAAAATCCTGTGTATTTACGAATGTTTTGGTAAAATAAAATTATTTCGCTTATAGAAGTTCATACGAAAATTAATTACAATTACCGTAAAAATTTGGCTAAAATTAAAAATTAATTAATTTATCCCAAACAAGGCCTTACATGGAAAGAATAACTAATTGGAAGATGTAACTTGGTCAATCGACCACTAAAACATAAATGAATTAAAAATAAAAATAAAAGAATCTTTAAATTTGAGAATTTTTCAAAAATACAAAATGAGTTCTTACAACAAATACTACATGAAAATTATTATAATTAAATTTAAAAGTTATATACAATATACTTATAGTTCTTTTACTTCGAGTTTTTTAATTAAATAATTAATTCTATCTAGCAATTATTTGACAGTCTAATTATTTTATATGAAAAAAGTCGAATTAGTAGGGGAATTTGATGTTATATTTAATTTTAAGCAAC